ACAGGAGTGGGAAGGGCAGTGGCCCCCAGCGCCCACGTTGTGTGTTACACACCGTGTCTCCCCACTGCCTGTCAGCTCTGCAGACGCGTTGACGGAGGGAAGCGCTCCTGTCAGCACAGTGTGGCCTCCTAGCGCGTCCCCACCGGAGCCTGAAAGGGAAGCGTGGGTCATCGTGGCTCTGCCCGCGGAGACAGGGTCCTTCGTGCGCGCTCGGCTGTCACGCGACTGCCACTCACACGGCGTGCGGCTCAGTGTCTTCCGTTTCCCACGGAACCTCTGGGATGAAACAGCACAAACACAGTAGCTGCTCACCGGCTCCGGAGAATCGGGGTGTCTCCCTCGCTCCCACGTTTTCATGCTCAGGACGAGACCCAGGTCAGGACTGGGTTGCACTGTTGTCCCCACGGTCAGGGCACAGCCCACACGTCTGCCTGCAGAGCCTGCGACAGAGAAACGTCAGTGTGAGAGAAACACATCCATGGGCTGCCTCCTGCACGAGCCCTGAGCAGGGCCTGGGCCGGGAGGAGCCTGCAGCCAGGTCCGTGCCCTTGACCGGAATCGAACCCGGGACCCGTTGGTCCGCAGTCCGACGCTCCATCCACTGAGCCACACCGGCCGGGACTCACTTGATTTTGTCTTTGACGATCTGATGGTCAAAACACACGTCACGGGGTGAACATGTGTTCCTGCCCTTGTCACCCATGAGCTTCCCTCCTGGTCTGTGAGGCCGCGCGGCCTCTGTCCCGCCAGTGTCCGTCCGTCCCTCTCCGGTGACGGGCGGGGTCACTGTGTCCCCCGTGGCCACGCCGTTTCTCAGGGCTGGAGTGGGACCTCCACGGTCCGGTGAGCACATTGTTTTACTTTATTCGTAAGTCGGTGGCCAAAGTGATCCGCCTTTCCCTTCCTTCGTGACTTCCCCCCGATTCTTACAAAATTTACCGACATTCACCTGTCGTGCAGGTCACGGCACACGTGCATCAGACAGGAATTCACCCGTGAAAGCGAGAGTACATTTGCTGTTTGCAAGACGGCATACACCCTGTCCGCTTCCTGCCCGCCCCCACTCCTCACATCCGCTGTTTAAAGGAATCCACCGGCTTTTCGTTTGGCAGTGGCTGCGGCGTCGGAAGTTCTTGGGGAAGGCTCCACCCGTTGGGGTGACAGTGAAGAGGCCTGTGTGGCCAGCTTTTGTTGATCCATAAAATGCACCAAGCCCCGGCCAGTGTGGCTCAGTGGATGGAGCGCCGGCCCTCGGACCAAAGGGTCCCGGGTTCGATTCCGGTCAAGGGCATGTGGACCTCGGTTGCAGGCTCCTCCCGGGCCTGGGCCTTAGTGGGGGCTCGTGCAGGAGGCAACCCATCGACGTGTTTCTCTCACATCCATGTTTCTCTCTGTCTTTCCCTCTCTCTTCCGCTCTCTCTAAGAATCATGGGAAAATATCCCCGGTTGAAGGTTAACAACAACGACAACAAAAATATAAAGTAAAAGCAAAATGCACCCGAATTAAGGGAACTGAAGTTACGTGGCCCTGAAGAGTCGTCTTCTAAACGTCTTTAATTTCATCCGATTTTTTTAAAAAATATATTTTATTGATTTTATACAGAGAGGAAGGGAGAGAGATAGAGAGTCAGAAACATTGATGAGAGAGAGACACCGACCAGCTGCCTCCTGCACACCTCCTACTGGGGATGTGCCCGCAACCCAGGTACATGCCCTTGACCGGAATCAAACCCGGGACCTTTCAGTCCGCAGGCCGACGCTCTATCCACCGAGCCACACCGGTTTCGGCCATCCGATTTGTTTTTATGGGGTGGCAGCGTCCTGTCTGGATGCGGACTGGGACACTGAGCAGCAACATAAAGCAGTGAGTGTCCACTGCTCCGCCCATGGCCACGCCCCGGCTGTCCCCGCTGAGTCCCGGGGAGGAGAATTCCAGTCTGGTTCCCTCTCGTAGCCCCTGCGCTTGGTCCTGGCTGACAGAGCGCCTTTCCAGCTCCTGTCCCCGACCCATCCTGACTTAATGTTTCTGGTTTCAGTGGCTCCCTACCGCCGTCAAAGCTCAGGTTTTAAAAATGTCTCATGTTCTGTGTGAATATTTGAGAGAGAGAGAGAGAGAGAGAGAGAGAGAGAGAGACTCCTCCACGGGACGCCTGCATCTGGTAGCAGATCTCTCGTTTCACCCGGGTCTGCTCTCTCGAGGCCCTTCCTGACTTAGAGCCGCCGTCCGCTCACACGGTATCCCCTGAGCGTGGCCTCTGCCAAGCAGGGCGGTCAGGCCCCATGACCCACAGGATGCAGGTCCCGCCCCGTGGGCTCAGGCCACGTCCACAGCTGCTCTGTGGCTCAGTGCTTGGTGAACGTCATCTCGTTTTCTTCTCCCTCCTCCCCGAGGTCGGCGTGTCCATTCCCCTTTTACAGGCGAGAAAACCAGCGGCGGGCGGGCTTAGCGAGTCGCCCCGGGCCACGGGGACTCTTTCCTCTCACACGATTGGGGCCGGACAGAGAAGACCCCAGTGCGACCGCCCAGCGTCCCGGGCTCCCATCTGTCCACCTGGCACTGTCCAATTCTGACCGGAGGGCGGCCACCCTGGCTTCCTCACTGCTTCAAGGAAGGAGCTGCCGTGCGGCTGACAGCAGCCAGTGAGATGACAACGGCCGGTCAGCATCTGTGTGCTTTTTGGTTTTTTCCCCAAATATATTTCAAAAGCCCGTTACTGTGTTTGACTTCAGCTGAAACTGGCTTTTGGCTCTTGCCTGTGATGCAGATCAAAGGACATTATGTGAGTCGCGGGGGAGGCTGAGTGGTCACCAGGCGGAGGGTCCCGGCCCCCCTGCGGCTTTCCACGCGCAGTTCCCGGGCGAGGGCGGGGGTTTCCGTAGGAGAGACCGCGCTGAGCTCCCCCCTCGCGGGGGTCCACGGCTGAATACCCTGGTTTCTCTGCAGAGGGGCCAAAATGGGCCGGGCGCCTGGCCCTGTGTCTCCGGGAAGGCACTCATTCCTGTAACTCTCGTGGCTTTCTGTGCCGCCTTTGTTGACATGGTGCCCACACTCACAGCGAAGGCCTGTGCAGCTCAGGGACGCGGTTGCGTTTTATTTCTCCGCAAATGCCTCAGGCAGCCGGCTGTGAGCCGTGGCGGCCCGCGACCCAGTCCACCCTCCGTGGGCTGCAGGGCCTGTCCGGTTCAGCCCAGGGGATGCCCGGAAGGCAGTCCCCAGAGCTCCTGGCCGGAGCCCCAGAAGCGGCTCCCCGGGGCTGCAGCCCCCAGGCCATGCATTCCTCACCCAGAGCTCCGAGGGGACTTCCAAGGCGAGAAATTCTTTGTGTCTTTGAAACCAGGAGAATCAAAGGAATGTCTTTTAGTCCGGCTTACACCGGCCAGCGAGTGGCACTAATAAGGAACAAACACATTAGCACCAAAAGGAAATGATAATTAGAAGCGAAATCTTAATCTCGGGGACCCCAGGCGGGGTGGGGGGTGGGGGGCTAACGCCTGGCCCCCCCCAGACTTTCAGTGTGAAAACCACATTCACACGTGCAGGGCGGTAAACAGCGGGGTATTTGCATGTGAAATGGCCGGTGTGGCCGCGTGAAGGCCTTTTGTTGGGAGGATGAGGTGGGGGAGGGTGGGGGAGCAGGTGGGGGGGGAGCAGCTCAGGGAGGGGAGGACTGGTTTTTCCAAGGAGAAGTGACCCATGGAGGGCTGACCGATGGATGGACTGAGTCTGCTCTGTGGCCGGTGCCGACGGCAGGTCCCTAATTTCTGGCTTTGCAGCCGCCCTGTGACACGGGCATTGAGGCAGCTGGCAGTGGGCAGCTGTGGGGGGTGCCGGCCGCCCCGAGCAGGCGCAGGAGCGATGGATGCTCCGTGTGAGGGGGGCTCTGAGGCCGGGGGCGGCCGTGTGGGGGACCATCCGAGCACAGGGTTAGCCCTTCTGCCTCATCTAGACGTTCACTCCTCTGTGTGCACTGAGCGCGATGGGCCAGGGCCCGCACACCGGGGGCTGCGTTGGCTGCCAGGTGTGGCGGGAGCTGTTACACTCACTTCAGGGAGAGGCCCCCTCCAGCTGCTCCTGGAGCTCGAGGAGGTTACAGGGGGGTGGGGTGGACACCGAGTGCCCCTCTGGCAGCCCCAGTGGGTAAGGGACACCCCAGCCCCAACCCGTGTTTACTCAGTAGCCAGATGCCACCACGTAATCGCCGTTAGCGAGCGAGCAGGCAGGGTCACAGTGGGTTTTATGGAGCGAATGTGCTCAAGGCAGAAGGAGACGCGAGCCCGGCCGGGGTGGCTCAGTGGATAGAGCGTCGACCTGCGGACTGGAGGGTCCCGGGTTCGATTCCCGGTTGGGCACCTGCCTGGGTTGCGGGCTCGATCCCCGTGTGGGGCGTGGCGGGGGCAGCCGATCTGTGATTCTCTCTCACTGATGTTTCTCTCTCTCCCTCTCCCTTCCTCTGTGAAATCAATAAAAACATATTTTTAAAAAAGAAACAATCTCTGAGGCCCCAGGCCTGGCTGCGAGAAGGCCTTTTGTTGGGAGGATGAGGTGGGGGAGGAGGGAGACAGGTTGTAGTGAAAGCACCGCGCGGAGGGGTGGGCTGCTTTTCAAACGAGAAGTTACATCTCAAGTGCCGACTGCCGGACGGGCCGATGTTGCTCTGTGATCGCGTGGACGGCGCCGGGGCCGCGGGGACCAGGAGGCGAGGTTTTGTTTGTTGTGTTTTATTTCCTGGGAGGTTCAGACGTGGAGGCAGGGCCCCGAGGGGTGAGTGACCGGCGCCCGGGCCCAGAGGCCAACCCAGCCCACTGCTTCCCGGCCCGGAGCCTGTTGTCCCGGCTGCTGTGTCCCTGCCTGAAGCCCCCGTAGGAGGGAGTCCTCTCAGCTCAGCCCTGGCCCCCGTGTCCTCTCCTCTCCTCGGGCTGCGGGGCCGCGTCTCACATGTCTTGCCTGGCTGAGCCCTGAGGATGGTGGCCACGGGCGGCCTGTGCGTGGTGCAGGGCCTGAGTCAGGGCGGGATGTTCGCACGGCGCCGGGAGCGCAGTCAGTGTCCTTACAGGCGCTCCGCCCGGGGCCAGGCGGACACGGGAATATCGGGGTGACCGCGTCAGGAGGCATATAAATGTCTGACCTCTGAGCTGTGCCCCCGAAACATATAAAATTGCAGGTCACCTGCAACTGGAAAAAATACAAAAAAAGAAAATCCAGGAAGGAAATAAGCGAGGCCTGACCTCAGCCCCCCTTTAGGGCCGCGCACGGCTCGCGGGCCACCGCGTGCGAAGCCCCTGCCATGTCCGGTGACGCCGGCGAGGAGCTCACGTTTCTGTGGGGAGAGCTGTCCTGAGTGAGTGAGTTCGCACGTAGGGATCAAAACAGATCCATAAATATTTTTTAAAATATATTTTTATTGATTCAGAGAGGAAGGGGGAGAGAAACACCAATAATGAGAGGGAATCGCGGATCGGCTGCCTCCTGCACGCCCCACACTGGGGATGGAGCCCACAACCCGGGCCTGTGCCCTGACCCGGGACTCGAACCCGGGACCCTGCAGTCCACAGGCTGTCGCTCTATCCACTGCGCCACACCGGCTCGGGCCCGACCCATGAATATTCATGGCAAGCAGTTGTTTATGGGCCGAATAAACTTTGGAATCGGGGAGAAAACGCTGCATTCAGGAAATGTAGGGCAAAGCAGGCTGTGTGCTCTCGGGCGTCCGGTCAGCTGTCCCCGCCCGCGGAGCCGGAGCCGAGGGGCTGCTGCTGAGTAGCCGCTGGTCGGAAGCGGCCGCCGCGGTGCTTTCTGGGGCTGCGCCCAGGGGTCCTGG